CCGCTCCTCCCGGGGGAGGAAGGGGAGTCTCCCCAGATCTGCCGCTTGTTGGGTCCCTGCTGGAGGAGCAGTGGCCCGACTGTGCCGCGGATCACGGTTTATGGCAACCCTGAGCTGAGAGCCCGCGCCTCAGCTCTGTCTCCCCGCTCCGATACCCGGGAGCTCTGCCGCACTCAGGCACCCCTGGTCTTTCTGTGACCCCGAGGGTCCTGAGACCACACTGTCCCACGAGGTTTCCTCGCCCCGCTTAGCCACTGGAGCGACGTCCCTCAGCAGAGCTGATTTCTAAAAGAACTACTCCTCCACCATCTTGCTCTGCCCCTAGTTTACCATTTCTTAAGTGAAGTCATTTTCTGCTAGTTCTCACTAATTTACAAATAGTAGACCCTAAAAGTTTAAGAAACATTTTTAAAATTAATAAAATTCTACCATTCCACAAACACTATTGGGAAAAGGCCACTTTTTGTTAAGTATCTCCATTCACTTCAAAGATGTTATATAAATGTAAGAATTGGGAATTATTCACATTAATAAATAAGTCATGCCAACAAATAAGTTAATAGTCATGTTTACTGACTTTATGAAGTTATTGATACCCTTCATATTTCCAGCATTGGTTTGCAGTGGTTAGCACTTTCCTATGTTCCTAATTTGTATTTTATTGTGACTGATTCCCCTTCCTTTGTATGTAAGAAATCAGTTTGAAAAATTGTAGAAAAGCTGCATCCATGTGCAGCTTTGTAAATAATATAATAAAACTCACTCTAGGATCATCTTAAAATAATTATGTTCTAAGTTACCAAATGCTCACCCCAACTACGCTTTAAAGATGAAAGAATTGAAGGCAGGTAGAGAACAAAAAGAGAGGGGCTGCTAGAAAGAAATCGGAAAGAAGTTCATTGCCACTGTCTTTGACAAGTAGTCCTAATTCACTCTTATGTTTGTATGTTAGTTCATGTGGGCCCTAGCTCTGAGAGGAACAGAAGCAGTCTGAAGCATGACATTTCTAATAAGATTTACACTCAGGGAGAGAACTGAATTCCTATTCATTGTCCTAAAGAGCAGAGAGGCAGTTCTGGTCCTATAATGCTTCCGCGTGAACGATGAGCTGGGTCATGCCTCACCTCAGCTAGACCAGCCCTCACTGCAGTAAGACGCCCATAGATGGCTGCTAGAAGCCCTGCTGACATTTCTTCTTGTCTGGGAGAGGAGTATTGGTGAAAAATGTTTTCTGTATTCATTAATTTTTACATGCAAAAAATTTGTTCTAATTGGTGATTCTCTTTCTTGTATCTGAGAACTAGTTATTGATGTATTTTTATTATACATAAGATTTCTATCCACACACATCAACTCTTGAATGTATTATAATCAAGAATTGAATAATCTTTGAGAATGTGATTTTTATTGCATCTCCAATTTGCTATACTAATTCAAGCGATTAATAAATAGTGAAAAGGAGGAAACACTCCCATCTTGTGGTAATCAAAGGGAAATGCACACATGGTCCTTGATGCTCAGACTTTCCAAAAACAAAACTCCTAAATAGTAACTGATGATATCACAGTACCTCTGTTTCCTGATAATAAAATCTACAAATAATAAAAGTAATTTCATCATGCCTCTATTTCCCAATCAGCAAAACTGAGATTAAGTGGCTTCAATAGTAGTTAGTTACTAAAGTAACATTTATGGTTTGGGATCAATGAAGCTAAACCAACTACTAGGCATTTTGTTACCATTCCTCCACTACCTTTCAAGAACTTATTTCTACATTATTATACATACATACCGCAATAATGAGGCCACTAGGTCCATTTAAGTTATCAACCCAACCCTAAAAGAAAAAAAGATCTCTATTAGTTACATGTGTCAGAAAATTATAATACATCCGCAACATCTACAGTCTGATCTTTGTAAGTTTCAAACATGAGCACTGAGACCCCAGTCTAATCCAATATATCTAAGATCACAAACAAAGATCAGTGGCAAAGCACTAGATATTTCTGCACTTGTGCAAGAATGAAAATTCTGCCAGCATCTTTTTTTCCTGGGAGGAGTCATCGGGAGTTTCAGGTTGTTTTATGACATCTTAGAGGTTAAACTGAACCTTGTCTTAATATCATAACTTGCTAACCAATTCATTAACCATCACTTTTCTTCACTCGGGCCTGATTTTCACTCTCCAGGGGAACACTACATATCAAACATGATTTGTAGGAAGGATCCATTTCTTGAAAATTTGAAAAGTCATAGCATCCATATCCTATTTGTATTGGCTTGCTCAGAGATGTTCACAGGAAGAATATGTTCTGGAGCAGTTGGAGGAAAACGTCTTCTTGAGTTTGTCTACTAAGCCCTAAGCAAGTCAGTTGACCTTATTATGTCTGTTTCTTTATCTGTAAAAGTCAAAATGTATGTGTAAATAGGAGAGGAGGGAGAAAAGAGAAGATGGAGGGCTTAATATTCTACTAGGGACCAGGCACTACACTAAACACTCGTACACAGTCTCATTTGATCAGCTCTCCAAAGTGGGTCCAGTATTGGGCTAAAATAGCATTAGCCCAGTTTTACAGATGAGACTGCTCAAGAGGCTGCATTTTCAGTAAGCCCTAGAGCTAAATTTTTTTGGTCCTAAAGCTTCACAGAATTCCTTCAAAAAAGATGGTATAATTCAGTGTACTTTCAAAAGGATAGAGCAGTATACAGATGCAAAAAATTATTCCTAATCTGAGAACCTTCTGTTAACTTTGTGATTTTTATTTACCCTGATGGTTGTAATACTACCAATTTGGCCATCAAGAACATTCTGGTATATTTAAACTAAAAGTGGGGAAGCGAAGAACTAAAACTATCCCATGGGAATTTTCAGACGAGGGTTAATGAGAAGCTAATTTAAGACCTCCACCCAACTCTAGGATAGGTAGTGTAACCCCCAGAGGAGCCTCATGCTGGATAAATCCTGAACCAAATGTGGAATTTTGTACTAATATAATGGGTTCGTATTTGGTATGCTGCACTCATCTATACATTCTGAGAAGAGAGAGAGAGAGCAAAAAGGACCTCTTCGGAAAGTAACTGGGCAAGAAGGACGCTGGTTTGGAAGCAAGGCAAGGAATCCAGGCGAGTGGGCTTACCGGGAAAGGCTCCTGCCAGGTTGCTCCCACAATGGAGGGCCTTATGATGGCAATGTTTAGGTTCTCGCTCTCCTGCTGCACCACCATCTCTCCCAAGGCCTTGGTGTACGTGTAAATATTGGGCCGATCCCCGATCAGCTTGGGTGTGATCTCATCAATAATAGCATCATCTAACCACCTAAGGGTAGTCAGAGTCAAAAAGAATTCTAGTAACATATGTTAGACAATAGGCAAAAAAAAAAAAAAAAAAAAAACCCCAAAACACAACACAATCAAACAAGACCTTCCCTTTCTCACTTGAGTTCTGGAATCCAGAACAGTCACAGGATACCAAGGCTGAGTGGCCATCCATCCAAATCCTGCGCACTGAATGAGCTCTTGGCTCAGCACAGCTACACCCAGTCTTACCACTTGAGTCCAGCTTCCTCCCACCTAGATTGATAAATTGAATAGCCATGCCATCTACTACTTTATTACACACGATCTCTAATTATCCTCAATATTTTCTCTCCAACTGGCTCACTAGTACACCCATGGGGACATTGGTGGGTGCCCGCCGTGCCCCTAGCATGCCACGTGCTTTGTTCATGGAGCTTAGAGTCTGTCACCCCATGTGCTTCGGGGGTGGCCCCACTCACCAGTGCTGTCCAATTCACACCTACTGTACCAATCTTGCAACCCTTAGCTTTTCACTTTTAAATTCCATTCAGTGCCTCAACAAATAAAAGCAACAACATTTGGCAGACTTACAATCTGTTTTAGCAAATCTATGAAATGCATTTTGGAGCTATATTTACAGTCTATGGTAATAGTTTGGTAATTATTTCCAGAGATTTCCCACGAATTCTGAAGTTCTCTAGTAGCTATTAATAGTCTGTCAAGAGTAGTGATTATAGTACTCTGAAGCGGCTTTAATAGTGATGGTTGAACACCTCTACTGACAAAAAGACATGTATCATGAGTGAGTTACCATGACATCCGCCTAATCTCTTTTTTAAAGATGTCAGCACCCTTTTGATAATCCCAAAGTCTATCTGCACTTCTTGAAGAAAGCAATAAAATCACTGTCAAATATTTAATGTTTCTCTTAACTGGCAGATCTATTTGGTTAACCATTTTTTATAATATAGTTTTTTAAAAATTAGGCTACCTAAATTTGTTAGTGTGATTTTTATAATTGATGTGCTTGGTACATTTATTCCTACTTTAAAGGACTGAGCTCAGTCATACTATTTTGATTGTAGAAAAATCTTAGCTATTACCACTTTTCTCCCATGACAAATTATTGAACATTTACAATATGCTTATGCCAATACTTATTCAGAAACACAACTCTTGGGGCGCCTGGGTGGCTCAGTCATTAAGCATCTGCCTTCGGCTCAGGTCATGATCCCAGGGTCCTGAGATCGAGCCCTGAATTGGGCTCCCTGCTCCACGGGAAGCCTGCTTCTCCCTCTCCCACTCCCCCTGCTTGTGTTCCCTCTCTTGCTGTGTCTCTCTCTCTCAAATAAATAAATAAAAATCTTAAAAAAAAAAAAGAAAAGAAACACAACTCTCAATTTTAATAATGCTGATTTGATGTTGGAGTGGGACATGAGCACTGTCTATAATGTTTTGGTTTTCCTTGCTTTGCTGCTATTAGTGCTGAGTGTTTTCTAGATACTTTTCTAGATGTCTTTTGATTTAAATCAAATAGGGAAAGGTTGAGAAGTTCCTAGAACAAAAGCAACTCCAAATACTTAGGAAAATGGAAGATTTTCTAATTATATGGCCACCTGACATTTGGGATAAAGTGTGTGAGATAATGAAGGCACCTCTCCATTTTATGATGATGTTACCTTTCCCTCATCTTATTTGATGGTCAAACTGACCTAAGACCATTTTCTTTCACCTGCAAACACACACAGATTGCAGAAACTGGGTCAGGAGAAATACAGCCTGGTTTCAATAAGGCTGTAAAGAAACAAATTCTTTTTTTTTTTTTTTAAAGATTTTATTTATTTATTTGACAGAGACAGAGATAGCGAGAGCAGGAACACAAGCAGCGGGAGGGGGAGAGGGAGAAGCAGGC